CTTCTTAAAATGTTATTTACTTTGATGCAAGTGTACATGCACTCAAAGGTGAAAGTACGATGAGAATTTAAAATTAATTTTTTTTTCTTTTTTTTAAATATATGTTTTTTAATCACCTCATACAAAGCAAGGCAATAATGTCACTAAAACGCAAGACATTACTGAACGTGAGGGAAAATGCGAAAAAGAAAACCTTATGAAGTTGTGAGAACAATAAAAGAACAGGAATTAAGAAGACAGAAGATAATGATTGATATTGCATGTAAATTTTTACAGATCAAATTTATCTGGGAAGCAAAAAGAAACTATTCGCATAGAACTTACTGTTACATCTAGCCATTTTAACTGGAAATTGATGAGACCTTTCCGCCAATCTTTACGGCACTTATATTCACAAAGTCTAGATACCATAAAGGAACGTTCATCGGAACAATTGCCATTAAATCTATATAATAAATACCAATGTCAGTGTGTCACACTTTTTCAATTAAAGGGACACAACTCTCGAACTTTTAAATATCCCATCTTCTATAAAATAAATAAGGCGGCGTTTAAACTAGTTACTAAATATATTTATAAAATAAAAAGGGAAAACAACGCGTGACATACCTGGCGGACTTGAGCAGGTGGATGACAGAACGTGGTCTGGTTGAGGAAGCACAGGGAAGGAACTTGTTGAGAGCAGCAAGGAATAGAGCGGGAGGAGAGCTATGATCGCCAACGTCCTGAAAGGATATGGCACATAAAAAGAAAAGAAGAGAGTTTAGTAATGAAAGACGGAAGCACATAAAATAGTATTCATGAGCCTCGAGAGATAATTCCCTGGCCATTGGAAGATTATCCCGGATGTAGACACCAAGGCCATGCATCTGAATGCTGGAATCTCTTCGGAACCAAGAATCCATTGGTAGAAGAATTTAAGTTGGTTTCACACAGGGTAAAGTTATCTGTGACCTTTATGAGGGAAAAGATTCTCCGCTGCAGCAGTTACAACGGATACCCCGAATATTAGAGAAAGAAAGTTTGATAGGGTAGGTTTTTCTTTTTTGTGTTTACCATGAGATTCATTTTAAGGAGAGAGAACAAAAACTACCATAATTGCCATTATCTGTCGTCAATGGCAATACAAACTAGCCAGGGTAAGGCTGAGAACAGAGCATAATGTGGTCTTAGGTTTGCCCATTGGAAATACATGCATGGACACACCTACCCATGCGCGACATGGCACTACAAATACCCAGATATTATGCAAATATTGATCAGAGCAGTTTCTCTAAGCGCTACCAAAGAGTCCGGGCTCCTTACTACCAGTTGGATGCAGCAGTCAGCAAACTGCCAAACCGGTACACTTATAATGGAAATTCACAGCTACCAGTTCGTCTGATCACAAAAAAAAGTTGTGGCCCTGGTAGGAGAAAGATAAATTATATCCTGAATAGAGAACAAGGAATGGATTTCTACTCCTGTTCAATAGACATGGAAGGAGCGCGAACCAGACGATAAATGAGCCTATCTACTCCTATTAACCCGTAAAGAAAAATTAAAAGTAAATAAAAAAGAAAGAAAAGTAAAATACGAAAGAATTCACATTAAGCAAATACTTATAAGTTCTGATATCTACTATCAGCTAAAAAAAAAACCAGGTTGGTAAATGTTGTAACCTAGGGAAGGATACAGAACAGAATAATCGCACGAAGGTTGGTAATGAACGATAATACTTAGGACCAGAACAACACACATCAGATTCGCCAGCGGCGCGTAGAAAAAGTAGTCACCTCTAGAAGTGAGTCAAGCGAATTCCACACTGAGTCACCAACTGCAGGATATCTACCAACCGACCCACGCGGTCAGATATGGCACAATACCAAAAATTTCCCGTAGACCCCGTATAAAAGGATGTTGGGTAGCTGTTTCTCGAGATGAAACACTGCCCTTCGACATAGCCTCGTCTGGGGATCCTCTATGTCCGGAGGCAGAGAGTTTGACCAGCACAGCTGGAGACGAATCTCCAACTGCAGATCAACATACAGTACTTACTACTGTATTTACGTGAATGGGGACATACAAGAGGTATGTCCGTAGGTATGCTACAAGGGTAAAATCTAATTCACTCTTGCTTTTTCAACATTTATACGTAACAGTGGGTAAGCATATTCTACATTAAACAAGCTGGGGGAGGGGCTGAATTTAAAGGTTTGATTATTAAATAGCAATGGAGAAAAGGAAATAACGACTGAGAATGAAGTCAAAGTGAAAACATCGGAAATAAAATCAACAAAAGAAAAACGAAAAAACAAACAAAAATAAAATAATAAAGTGTTAAACATTTACAAACAACAACATGACACAAAGCTCTCTAACTTACTTACAAGGGATTCTTCAGATACAAAATTTGTCATGTTTTTATGGACGGAGCAAGCCGAATTGATTTCAATGGTGGTTTGGTGAAAATTAATGGCGACTCTGAAATACATCTCAATTTCCTCGACTAAATAGGATGGGTAGTGGCTGTGGTAGGAGGGGACTGAAGCATCCGAGCCAAGCCAAAGTCACTAATTTGGGTTGAGTGGGAGGTGCAGGTGGTCGTGAATAATCCGGAATCTCACTTGTAATTGGTGGTACCAGGGTAGCAACCTATCTTTTACTTGGCGTTTGAAGGCCCTTTTAAATGGCGATCTACCTTCCCTACATTTTTCCTTTTTTGCTGGGGAGATCTAACAACGAATTAGAATCAGGCATCAGTTACTAAAAATAGTCATCCCTAAACGAATGCCAAACTTCAAATATATGCAAATAATGCATATATATATATATATATATATATATATATATATATATATATATATATATTCTTTTTAGGCATGTCTGATTAAATAAATTACAAACATTATGTCTGCTTATTTTTATCATAATCCTTTCATATTCACGAATATTTTCCGTGCATTACAAATAAATGAATCAAGAAATGCACTGTAACAGTTGAAATCACTTTTATTTCCCAATTGCTTTCCATCTCTTTCTGAGATCATCATTAGGGGTGCAACTGGTAAGAAAAAACTATGTAACTATCAATTACTGAATATTATGTATCCATGTATATATATATATATATATATATATATATATATATATCACAGTTCAGATGGGCATGTCATCAGAATGATCAGATGCCGAAAATCCTCATGTATAGCCAACTTTTTCATGGTAAGCGTAATGTAAACCGTTCTTGGTTACGCTTCAAGGACAAACTTAATTTAATGTTGCAAACATCCCTATAGAGGAATTTGAACTTACTGTTGAAAATCGAGCAAACTGGAGAAATACCTGCTACCGAGGTATAACTAACTTTGAAAAGAATCGTCTCAATCATCTGAGAGAATTAAGCATTAACACTAAATCTTGGGCTAATACATTAGCCCATATGACGGGCAACCATTTGCAAATCCCGTGTAGGATTGTTGTCTCATACGAAACATAAACATAAAAACTGAACTGAAAGAGACTCATACGTCGAAAACGACGGGAGAGTCCATCATATATATATATATATATATATATATATATATGTAACAAACGTGGACACATAATTGAAACATGCAGGTTAGGTTAAATATTTCTAGTCGATGGGGTGGGGGTTGAATTACAAAGTTTTATAATTAAATAGCAATGGAGAAAAGAAAATGAGAATGGAGTCAAAGTGAAGACATCGGGAATAAAAGAGTTAAACATTTACCAACATACAACATGGCACCAAGGCTTTCTAACTTACTTACAAGAGACTCTTCATGATTTAAAAAATATATATCTAAAAGCATACCTTTACACTAGACATATAAAATTATGTACAAAATATCTGTAGCTGAAAGCATAAAATTACGTACAAAAATATTAAATAACCCATAGAAGTTGATATGCCGCTAAACAACATCAACCAAGCCACTGCGGAATTTCAGAAGCCAGCATCGAACTGTTCGATTACAAGTGGATCCTTTACCACACACTCTTTTAATATAGGTAGCAATTTGAGAGGCATTAGGATCAAGGTTAAATTCATGCAAAAAAAATTCAAGATGATGTGTATATAATATTTTGAGTTAAATTCTAAAAGAGATTCATGTAAAATTGCAAAGAGGACTAGAATGTGTAATACATTTTTGGATGAACATTGTAATAAGATATTAGAACACAAAAGGTTAATCCTAAAATCGGATATTATCTTCAGAAAAACCAAATACTAGTTATTTACTCTTTTCTCACACTAAGACGAGTTGTGACAAGGTTTTTTTAAGGTGGGGACCCGAGCGCGTACACCCGGGCTAGGAACAAAAATTGACCGCAGCCCCCGCAACCGTCGGTTGCGCTGGCCTCAGTGCGAGCACTGATTCCTCTGTCTGGTGCAATGAGAGGGCGCGGCCTCGGGTAGCTGTTCCCCAGGGCTGGGCACCTCTCAGTATAATTTTCCTCAGTTGCGACTCTGTCCTTTGACGGAATCCACCTCAAGTGAACTCTGCCCAAAGACAGAGACGCAAAAATACTATTTTTCCAGTGTACACACGGAGTGCGTCACGTAATTGAGAACAACATTCTGAAAGTGACTGCTATGAAATTAGAAAAAGGACATTTTAATCACTTCGAATGGGTAATGCACTTTTGTGCAACTCCTATAATAATATATTAGGACACAAAAGGTTTATTCTAAAATCGGACATTATTTCGGAAAAAAACAAATACTGTTTTCCAGTGTATACACAGGATGCGTCACGTAATTGAGAACAACGTTTTGTAAGTAATTCATATGAAATTAGTAAAGTGGACACTTTAATTATTACGAATGAGTAATACATTTTTGTGCAACTGTTATCATACTATATTAGAACACAATTGAAAGAAAATACATTATTTTCCCAACAACCTTATATTAATAATAATTATTGTTCCTTTTTATTCTATTATTACAGAGAGAATGTATCAGTATACACGTGGGGCAAGCTGGGGTGCAGATGGGAAACTCCTGCTGGGAGTTATACTGTCTTGAACATGGGATCGAACCTGACGGCCATAAACCAGAAGATGTGAAGGCGGATGACAGCTCATGTAATACATTCTTCTGCGAAACCGAAAATGCCAAATACGTACCACGAGCAGTCTTTATAGATCTTGAACCAACTGTTATTGGTAAGTTTTTTCAGGTATTTTTCCATGCGCTAACGGCAATGCATGAAAAGTCGGGCACAAATAAATATCAAAGATGTGCTATCAATTTTTAAAATGAAGAAAATTCGATATTTCATGAAGAGAAGCTTTAGAAAAGAACAGCGAAGCTCGGATTGTAGCTCTAGATACCGCAAAGGTGTTCGACACGATTTGGCATGCTGACCATCTCCGCAAACTCAAGGGCTACCGTCTCTCTGGATGAATATTTGGTTTAATTCAGTCGTTCCTCACAAGTCGTGTAATGAAGGTCGTGTTGAACAGACACGCTTCTAGACCATTTTGTATTAACGCATAGGATCCCAGGGGCTTATCTTTGAATCTACGATGTTTCTTGTCTTCATCGGCGACCTTCCCGGTGTCATCCTTTCCCAATTAGGCATTTATGTAAATGACATAACTATTTATTCCTGTCTTAGTAACAAATCCGACCTTCCCAGTGTCATCCTTTCCCGATTAGGCATTTAAGTAAATGACATAACTATTTATTCCTGTCTTAGTAACAAATCCGACAAGTTCGGCAAAGTAAAACTGGCAACTGCTCTCGAAACCTAACCCCAATCAGTTTTTAACTGGGACAAGGTATGGCTTGTAAATTTTAAAGACTTCAATATAAAACTACTTAAATTTAATCACCATAGCGAACCTTTTTTGTCTGCCATCAACATGGCTGATGCTAACCTCCAGAAGAATAATTCTTTGCGCCTTCGTAGTCTCATATTTTCCATTGACGTGAAATGGAGTATTTTTATTGAATCAGTTGCTAGGGAAGAATGTTGTACCAGATACTTTTCTCGTCAGGATCCAGCTTACACTTTTAAAACTCTAGCTTTTGTCCGTGCATTGAATATTGCTACCATATCTGGTTAGGTGTCCCTACTATATAACCTGGGATTATTAACAAAATTCAAAGAAGGGTCTGTGGGGTAATAGCTGCTGATCTGGCTGCAGCAATACGATTTCTCACACATCTCACACATTTAATGACCAGGGTTTCTTAGGAATCTTGTCTCTAGTCCATCTTAAATCTGAGTAAATTTAATGAGCAGAATTTTTCAGAAATCCTGTCTCCAGCCCGCCTTTGAATTGGCAAACATAAAATTTTGTTAGTGATTTTAGATAACCGTAAAAGTAGAGTCCTTTGAAAAACTGAACACCCAAAAGCTGACTGGGTAGTCCCCTTTTGCTGTTGGTGGAACACGAGTGAACGGAAAGGGGTGGAGGGTCCCTCAACCAGTATCCATATAATAAGTGGTCAGTGGATGGACTGGCAGTCAGTGAAACGGCCGGCGGTCAGCGAAACCGCCAGGCAGTGAGTGTGTAGGAGTCCGTTTTCCGTGGCCGGAAGTGAGATAGCATAAGTTCGCTTTCTCGAAGCCGAAGGAAGACATTGCCGATTAAGTGAGAAATCATATTCTTTTTGCTACTTCCTGGCCAAAGAAGTGCCTTGAAAATCATTTGTAGTTATGCTTTGTTGATGTCGATCACGGCCCTAATATTGGGGCAAACCTGTGAACATAGCGAGAGACATTGTGTCTTCGCATACAGCCGACCTTGGATGTCATCACTGCTTGTGCAGTGACATACAGAATCGCATCATCACATGGCATCTCGAGTTCAGTCACTTTCTCACCGACGTGATGTGACTTCCCTTTGCCTTTTCTACAAATATTTTCATCGCAATTGTTCTGATGAGCTTTCCTCTTTAGTGCCTCGACTGCATGCATTTAAACATTCTACTAGATTGGCGACTAGGTATCACCGTTTTCTCTTGAACTAGCTAGGTGCAACCGTCCGTTCTATTTTAATAGTTTATTTTCTCGTACTTCTCGCCTGTGTAACTCCTTTCCGATTTCTTGCTTCCTTTACACTAACAATCTTCCAACATTTAAATGCAATGCCAATTGCCATCTTCTGTATTTTCTGAAACCTGTTCTTTTATTTTCCTTTCTTCGCGCTAAAGTCATCGTACTCCCTTTCACTCCCTGTAAACCCTTGCGTCTTAGTGGCATTATCGCCTTCTTTGGGTTGAAATGATTTTAAAAAAATGAGAGAAAAAAGTGAAAGCATTCAAAATCTTCAAAGCTGAACACTTAATTATAAAATTATCAGAACCAGCAATAAGGGATCGAATCCTGGTACCAGCAGCTGGAAGTTCCTTGTCGTAATACACTGTTAGAAAGATAATATGTCGAAGCAGTTAATATCTTGAAAAAATGGAATCGGCGTATCGGGTTCAAGCTTCAGCTGAGATCCTTTGTGGGTTCTTCAAACTAATTTCTCCTCAGAAATGCATGAATCAGTTTCTTATCTGTTAGGGCCGGTGCAAGGGTCACGTGCTCCCGCCCGAATCTATGATACGATGCCCCCTTCAACTCTACTACATCTTACTTTTCATCAGGCAGTATTTATATGATACAAATTTTATTGTAACGTAATTTATGTACAATGATGGTTCATATACAATATAATGAACAAATCAATCAGAAAAATTGAAAATAAATACAGTGTATCTAAATACAAATTAGAGACATGTCATAATTGCTGATTCCTTTAGGACATCTCAGCGTGGTGTCATGGTTAACAAGCTTGTCTCGGTAGATCAGTTACGACTGAAAGGTGAATTCGATCCTCATTTCCTACTTTCGACTTTATGCCACATCTATGCTTAGAAAATATCCATAATAGATCATATCCATCTTAAATAGAGTTTTTTTTTTGCGAGATTTTTCTTGTTAAAAAGTCGAATAATTTAACACATTCAACATAATGGATAAAAAAAATAGTGAATCCTATAGAGTGTATATTTCGAGACACAGTCAGCATATTTTGGCTTTTCTTTTCTAGTAATAATGCTTCCATTATTTTTTACATTTTTTTTTTTTACATGTGGATAAGTGTATTATATTTGTATTATCAAGAGAGATGAACAAAAAAAAATTCACGGATTTGCACGAAAAAAGATGCCGGATTGATGTCAAAATACGTGAAGATTTTTTATTCTTTAATAATTGTGCTTAAATTAATTTGTGACGTATATAAATGCAGGCAGAAAAAAGTAAATTTTGATAAGATAGAAAGTTCATACACCAACATGCCTAACGTGATGACTCTGCGTTACACCTCTCTGACCATAGCTCAATTAGGTGTCATTTAAATACACATGGAAATCTACCAAACTCCGTCCGCAACATACTCGTTGATAATAGAAATATAATACACTTATCCACATGTAAAAAAAAAAAGGTAAAAAATAATGGAAGCATTATTACTAGAAAAAAAAAGCCAACACTCAATAACATCAACACGGCGAAAATATGCTGACTGTGTTTGGAAAATGAAACATTCCTATAACTCTAGATACATAAAGACGAATCCATACATTTAGCTAAAAGTAAAAATCATCCGTGATATTGGCGAAAGCTATAAGCCAAAAGCGCTCGGACATACAGAACATTCGGACAATTTCTACATCATTTATGTCTAGAAAAGAAGAAAATTATAAGAACACAAGAAAAATTAAAGAAAAAAACTTAACCACCGCAGTACCTTGTCAGTCGTTTTTAACGAAACACACACACACACACACACACACACACACACACATACACACACACACACACACACACATATATATATATATATATATATATATATATATATATATATATATATATTCACCCAAATAATCTCGACATATATCTATTTATTATTATTTTAATCCTCTCGATTTCTCGAATCAACTTCTTAATGTTGATATTAAATTCAGTAAATAAGGTGGCGTATTTTTTCATTTCTTTTATTTTCTCAAGTGCTTTCAATCTCATCCAAAATCAACTTCAGAGATGAATTACTAAAATAAAAATTAATGTAATATTAATGAATTTTTTGGTAAATGCGGATGATAAAACAACAGCTTCAACAGTTAATTTTTAAATTAATTCTAACGGAGAGCGTTCATACGTGTTTATAAGTATAACAGAGCGCGTTTCATGCGCATTTACAAAAAAATTCCCAACTATCAATTACATTAATTTTTTCTCTTAGCAATTCATCCCTGAAGATGATCTTGGATGAGATTGAAAGTTCTTGGGAAAATAAATGGAATGAGAAAAATTAAGCCACCTTCCTTAATGAAGTGAACATCAGCATTAAGGAATTGATTCGAGAATTAGAGAAGATTAAAATAAAAATAAATAGACACAATATTTTTTTTAATCGGCATCACCCCAAGCATGGCAGTAATGCCACTAAAACAGAAGAGGTTACAGGATGTGGAAGAATTAGGAACAAAAAACAATAATGATGAGCAGAAATAGAAGAGAATAATCAGGAAGACAATAGATAGTATTTGACATTGCATTTAATTGTTTGAAGATTAAAGTTGGCTGGAAAGCATGAAGCCAGAAGGGAATTCTCCAAGCGAGAAGTGCTAGAGAGGAAACTACTAGCATAGAACTTACGGCTACATTTAGCCAGCTTAACTGTAAATTGATGAAATTTCGACGTCAGTTTAGTGCTGAGCTTAAATTCACAAATTCTAGGTACCATAGCAAAGAGCTCACCCGAACAATTACTATGAAAGTATTTATAGAAAAGACATAGAAAGGCAATATTACGGTGTTGGGAAAGTGACTGGAGCTGAGATGCCAGATCAGGCCCAATAATATTGCTGATTCTTCATTGAATCTTATCAAGGAAGATAAATAGCAGGGGCACTGGACTATATGTGGCAGCAATATTCTAAGCATGGACGAATGGTAGACTTATAGATATATAAGATAGATACTGGAGTGAAAAATTCTCTCACCCGACTTTCTTAGCAGCTGACCTAGCAATGGGTTCAATATAGTCTTTCTACTTCATGTCAGCTGAGAATGTTCGCCCGAGAAGGCGCAACGCGTCGCTTTCCTGGAGGTTAGCATCAGCCATGCTGATGAAAGGCAGGAAGTGTCTTCTCTGACGATTAAAATAAATAAAATAATTAAACGGTTCCAGTTTTTTGTTTTAAAAAAGGAAATGCTGGGAACTTTTGCACATGCATAATGTTATAATTTTTTTTAACAATATTCAGTCACCCCCCCACGAGGGTATCATGTGGCACAAGGCCTTTTTAACGTGGGCATTCCCGAGCCATTAGGCTCGGCCAAAAAATAGCCCATTTGAACCCGTATAAACGGGTTCAGAGCCGGTTTTACCTCCCCGAAGGAGACTCCGCCCTTCGGCGTAGCCTCCTTCGGGTTCCTCCCGCCCGTAGGAAGAGAGTTTAACCTAACAGTCGGTTCAGACTTGAACGACTGACTAATTTTTTTTTAACTGTTAGTGTTATTTAAATACCGACGTGCGGTAGCGTAAAGGTCATCGCCACTGTAAGTGGGATCAGGGAATCAAGTTCAAATTCCGGACAAGGCAGTTGCGTTCATTTTCACACAAATAAACTTTGAAAATATAAGAATTCATTTCTTCGCCCAGCCCTCCCCCCAGATACGGATTAAATAGCTGGGTTAACTGTACTCTCTGTAGTTTCTCTTTTCTTCAAAACCCCGGAGAAAGACAACAAGGATTCACTCTGTTATCTTTCTCAAGAACGCATGATAATTCATAGATATTAAAGAAAAATAATCCATGGAAAACCATGGTCGCCTACGTCCAAAAAAGGGGAAAATGCGTTTTCATTTTGTGAAATTATTTAAATAAACGAAACCTTAAAGAAATATTTTATTTCTCTCTCTCTTTCTCTTTCCAGACGAAATCCGTTTAGGAAATTACCGCCAGTTATTCCACCCGGAACAATTAATTACAGGTAAAGAAGATGCTGCCAACAACTACGCCAGGGGTCATTATACAATTGGCAAAGAAATTGTCGACGTGGTTCTGGACAGAGTCCGGAAGTTGACGGATCAGTGTAATGGCCTACAAGGGTTTTTGATTTTCCACAGCTTCGGCGGAGGAACAGGAAGCGGCTTCACCTCTCTGTTGATGGAAAGGCTGAGCGTTGACTATGGAAAGAAATCCAAACTAGAATTCTCTATTTACCCGGCCCCACAAGTGGCGACGGCTGTAGTTGAACCCTATAATTCCATCCTGACTACCCACACGACTCTAGAACACTCCGACTGTTCCTTTATGGTGGACAACGAGGCGATCTACGATATCTGCCGCCGTAACCTGGATATCGAGCGCCCGACCTACCAAAACCTGAACCGGCTAATTGCCCAGGTCGTGAGCTCCATTACTGCCTCTCTGCGCTTCGACGGGGCGCTCAACGTTGACCTGACAGAATTCCAGACAAACTTAGTCCCTTATCCGAGGATCCATTTCCCGTTGGTAACTTATGCCCCGATTATCTCGGCCGACAAGGCTAATCATGAGCAAATGACCGTTGCAGAGATTACCAACGCCTGCTTTGAGCCCTCTAATCAAATGGTCAAGTGTGACCCCCGGCATGGGAAGTATATGGCTTGCTGTATGCTATACCGTGGAGATGTGGTCCCCAAAGATGTCAACGCAGCTATTGCTACTATCAAGACGAAAAGGTCTATTCAGTTTGTGGATTGGTGCCCGACTGGTTACAAGGTCGGAATCAATTATCAACCCCCAACTGTAGTACCTGGAGGAGATTTGGCTCAAGTACAGCGGGCTGTTTGTATGCTGAGTAACACTACTGCCATTGCTGAAGCCTGGGCGCGCCTAGATTATAAATTCGACCTGATGTACGCGAAGCGGGCATTCGTTCATTGGTATGTCGGGGAAGGAATGGAGGAGGGGGAATTCTCGGAAGCACGCGAGGACCTGGCCTCGCTCGAGAAGGACTATGAAGAAGTCGGCTTCGACACAGTCGATATTTACCCAGAGGAGGAAGAATGTGAGGAATATTAGATCGAAATATCAATTAAGTAAATTTAAAAAGAATGAAAAAAAAAAAGTTAAAAAAAAACAACAACAACAAAAAAAAAAAACAATTATTCTAATATTTAAGATAACTTTTTTCTTTATCCTTTTTTGTCAAAGCCTGGCTTTTTGCATTTCAATAAAAGAGGAAAAAGCATTTTAAGAACAGACATACTTTTCAGATAACTAACTTTTTTCTTTATTCATAATGCATACAAACAAGCTAATAAATAACACACCCACCCACAAACAAAATAGCATTAATACACACACGCATGGAGACTTGCGTACATACACTGGACAGGACATGGCTTATCTAGTAAAGACGTTTGTCTATTCGCTATCCCTTTAGTTAAGAGTCGAAAGATAAGTTTCGAACGTATGCTTTGTCTTAGAGCAAGTCCTTTTTGTTATTTTTCCCTATTAAAGAAATTTGTTTAACCCCCGCCACACAAAAGATCGATATATTATTTGCAATAACTACAAGCCAGACAACTCATTTCGTAAAAAAAAAAAAAAAAATGCCCCCCCTTCATTAATCCTATTAATAAAATATGATACTACGTGATAAGATATACGACTTATCCTTAACGGTACAATTTTACTGTGGTCAGTTCAGTTCACCGATAAAATTCGCTCGTCTAACGGTATGTAGTTGTGGGTTACCCCCGCTTTGATCTGCCCAAAGCGCTTGTCAGACGGCACACTTTAAGCCTATAAAAAGGCAACCATATTCTCTCTATTCCTTTGTTTTTAACTCTTGCTTCCAGCTGCAGTCGAACTTAGAATAAAGAACGCTGCCGACAGGGCGCGTTTGCTTCCTTGTTCCAGTGTTGACTTTTGAACTCTCTCGTACACGATCACACACGCTTGTTACACACACAGACAAGCAGACTCTTATATCTAGTTTCAATGTCTTTTCCTTTCATTTCAACTGCGTACACATGTAATTCCTTTTGCCAATAACATGCATTGTCGTTTGTTTTATATTCATTGTTTTGTGTGACTTATTTTTAATAGAAAATGTCTATACACGTCACAACCAAAGAGGTGATACTAGCAACATATAATGACATATCTACACAAACATATTATTAAAATTCCACAATATACTTATACGTAAAGAATATAACTTATTAAGTAAAATAAAGATTAATTATTTCTTTTATCATTAAAACAGTAAAGTTGAACCGGCTGCCTAAATGACAATTTTATAATGTCTGAAAATTCTATAAATTTCCTTTACCAGCAGACAAGAATTAGAAAATTCATATTCCATGAGATATGAGCAAAGCTTTGTTGCGGATATCAGCATTTTGGATATAAGTGTGTGTACGTCGTATAGTAAATATTTATGGGCTCCTGAAATATTTATCCCGCAAACAATATTGGCGGACTCATGTGAGTCCAGGCAAGTGGAAACAATGAATTTAAAAGACACGACAATATATGTTATTAACAATAGGAATTACATGTGTACACAATTGTAACGAAAAGAAAAAAAACATGAAAATAGTTATATGTATGTGTGTGTGATATACACGAGTGTGTATATGCTTGCGTGAGAGAGTTCAAAAGTCAACAGTGGACCAAGGAAGCGAAAGCGCCCTGTCGGCAGCGTTCTTTATTCTACGTTCGACTACATCTGGAAGCAAGAGTTAAAAAAATACCTTGCCTTTTTATAGACCTAAAGAGCGCCCCCTAACAGGCGTTTTGGCAAGGGCCAAGTGGGGTAACCCACGGGTTTTCTTGGTTAGATTTTAAATCATTTGTTAATAAAATCTCTGTGATTTTTTCCCCATATATTTAGGTATTCAGAAATCCGTAATTCATTAAAATATGAGAAATCTACATAAAAATAACAGATAAAAATAGATTAATCCAATAAAAGAACGTCATCTAGGATTATTATGTTAGAAACATGTGTCTCGAAAAACACGGAACTATTTCAACTAGCGAAAGAAGAAATGTGTAAGTTGTCCAGCACAGGGGAGTGTTGAAAGGCTATCTAATATTAATGGAAGTGAATGCTGAACAATTTCTTCACAGACGAAGAGGAGACTTGAAGCAACAGAGATGTGATTCTATAAAAGGATGCTGAGAATAACATGGACGGAGCATGTGGGAAACAAGGAGGTGTTAACTAAAGTGTAAACAAACAAAAAAAACGTTTATACTTAGAATCAGGAAGAGACGTCTGAGATTACTGAGGAAAGAAGGGTTGGATAATTCGACACTCACAAGACACACTAAAAACAAAAGGGTAACAGCGAATAATCTGCCTAACGAGGTTCTTTTAATGGATAGCAGAACAGTGATAGATAGCGAGATAGTAAGGGGACAAATATTTTTATTTTAGCGTTTCAAACGATAGGAATTTCAAGGTGAGCCATGATCCCTCATGTCCTTTCAATCAGTCAATTTAAAGGTAAAATTGTTGGCGTCTAGGTAATTGCTACGTGAATTTATAGACGGGGTGGAAATTATGATGGGCGACTTTCCTTTTAAGCTGACATTAACAGCTGAAGGCACAATGTCGTATGAGATGAACATTTTTCAAAGGCTACTAAAAAAAAATCGACTGATTCACACACTAAATTAATGCTTTTACGTCTTTGTTTTTTTTTTCCTTTTCTGAAAAAACAAAAATTAAAAAAAAAAATCGCTAACGGATGATGTCCCTTGCGGTATTGTCTTGATTGCAATGCTTTAAAACGTGTTTCAGCGTTGGTTCCTGTTGGAGAGACTTTATTCGAAGTGATTCAGCAACGGTGGACATTTTTACAGGATATTAACCTGTAGAAAAGTGCCAAGAATTGTATGAAGAAATAAAGAGAATAGGTAAATGCTTAAACTGTGACTTTGTTGTTCTTTCTTTATTTGAGAAGAAAACCAAAC